AAAAAACCCCCCCCCCCCCCCCCCCCCCGCGTTAGCTCAAGGTCTGGATCTGACATTGATCAGTATAATTGCTTTTTTTTCCTTTGTTTTTTTTAGGATGATCCACCTTCTTTATCTCCTGGGTATGAAAATACTTCCAGTCAGTTTAATTATGTATAATGCTGCAGTTTGATTTATAGCTCTAAGTCTGCGGTTTAAAAGTACTTGCAGTTGACGTTAATATTTATAATTCTAGAATTTGATTTGTGGCTCTTTGATTCAATCTCTTGTTCAGTGGTAATTTGATCCGTAGGTTCTCACTCAGTGAAGCTATGAGTGAAGGAATGGAAGAACTGAGAAAAGAAAATGAATCCTTGAGAAAGGTTATCAAGATGTACAAAGTACGTTCTTTATAAAGTATTATTTGCATATTTTAGGGTTGTTACTAACGCTGTAATTACTACATGATATCTTGTTTACATTTTTCCTGTTAATTTTCCACAAGGAAAACGAGAAAGCTATGGAGGAGTTACGGAGATTTTATTCTGCCCAAGCAATTAAACACAAGGAAAATATGGAACAGGCTGTCAGCCACAAGGTATCTGAGCTACGACAAACTTCGTTTGAATGCAGTGACGGATGTTATAAAGGTCATTAATTTGAGACGTCCAGTAGAGATTGGCAGGCATTTTTCTTTGTTTCAAATTGTGTTACATGTACATGAGTGCTTGACCCGGAGGGGGGGGGCACTGCCATATATGGGCTATATAGGTATGTGCCGCTGTGAAGGGTATGGTTTTCAAGCAGTTTACTCTAGGATAGGGTATATAAATCAGAGCGTTTGGGTCTAGACTAGGGTATCATTTTCCACAAAACTGACTGGTTGGTTGAAGATTTTACCTAGAGTAAGGAAACCAGGAATTGCCACTCAAAAATATCAAAAAATCAAATCAGCAAGTTTAAATTTACGCAAATCAGCCTCAACACTGTCGATAGATGAGGGGATTTGGAGAGTTTACTCTAGTATAGGTTAGCAAAATTCAGCTGAACTAGCTTTGGTATAGGCTAAGGGGGGTCCCAGCGGCACATCCCCACCCAGAAATTCCCAAAGTACCCCACCCCCGGGGCGCTTGATAACACTGGACTAACGATTTATCCTGTGATGCTCAGTTTATGATATTTCTACATTGTAACAAAACTAGAGTCGATGCCTTTAAATTTAGCAAACTTTGTTGCACAGCAAGTTCAACTGCGTTATACTTTAAACTTGTTAAGACGGATTCCGCTCAAAGTTCGAGCAATAAGTGCAAAAATTATTTGCTAAATATCTACTCATAGCAAGGTGACTTTTGGAATACTATTTAAAACAACTCACTTTGGTTAATTTCTCTAAGTGACCCCGTGATTGAATTCTCAAACGTTTTCGAGGAAGTTGAAGCCAAATCTCGTAAGAATGCTTTAAGTGTGTGTTCTCGTGTTTTTTAACTAACGCGAAACGTCTGTTTTAATTGAAATATGGATAACTTCAAGTTCAATTTTCTCTCACAGGGTCAGCTTGAGAGTTTTAGTCTCGATAAGTTCCAAATATTACCATGCTATAAGATTTTCTTGGTAACTTAATTTTTGCCATTATTGCTCGAATGTTCTGCGGAAATCATCTTAAACTTTATTTACACGGAATATGTGGATATGTAGCCTGTTCTATATAATACACTCAGAGCTCGGGGGTTAAAGGATGCTCTTGTTGAAATATTTCTACTACAACTGTGAAAACAGAAATCCTCTGTTAAAATAATAGAGTACTAATAAAATTATTATTATTATTATTATTATTATAGTTATTAAAATCTACTTTGAGCATATTTTCTGAACGCATCTTGTCTCCATTGAAATTTTCAGACGTTTATTCAATGGACATCTTTAACAACCTGATGGACGGTTCTTTTACATACCTTGTATATGCTTGTAGCAGGATTTCTTTTTAGTTACAATTACATTTACGATATCGATCTGTTTGCAGTTCTTGGAATTAGTGAGCAAAGTCAGGGGTCTTAAAACAATAAGGTAAGGTTAACGTTGCATCCGGCAAGTATATTTTACGCGTAACAGTAGCTGGTAACAGGTGAAGGATAACAGGTAATTATTTTTAGAAAATGGAGCGTTACTATTACCATTACTGAGAGCTGACCATAACGTAGCCAGCTGTGGTGTTTTTCAGCCTAACTAGAGTACCCTTCAGGCTAATTAACCAAGTGTCTTGTTTATAATGCCTTCAAGTTAAAATTTCTTTGGTTGTACGATACTGCCTTGAAACAGTTTCAACAGTTGTATTATCATCTTGGTAAACACTTATTATGCTTGTCGCGTACTCACAGAGACACCACTCCTGGAGAGAAAAAGACTTCTGTAGTGATCAGAGAAGCAATTGACTTGACAAGAGATAACAAGATTCATTTGGAGTCATTGAAATCCTTGCATCAGGTACAAAGAAAAAACTTGTGCAACAACAGACATTTGAGTTTTCGGTTCAAACATTATTTACTGTATTAGCATGATTCTGGGAAATAGCTTGCTTCAAAAGGTTTCTTCTGCTATCCAAACTGCCATTTATCAGGGTTAAAGAGCCATTTTCATCTGTGATACATTGCGTGCCTCGATCACCTTACCTGTGTTTTATGACATACAACTGAAATTAGTGATTGGTGACTTTTCCTCAAGACAGTTTTTACTTTTTCATTTTGTAGAGAGGAAAGTTTTAAAAATACGCCCGATTACCAGGGATACCAATTGATAAAGAGCATACATAAACTGTTTAAGGAGCGTCACGCTCGGCTATTTAAAATTGGAACCATCTTGTGATTCTTGAGCAAGCAAGGTTGCTAGAAATTTAACACTGAATGGGGTTAGAGATGAGAACGACAAAACTGCTAATCTTTGCCGGAGGTTGTTTATGTATGTCAGTTAAGACTTTTGCCGCCAACTTTGTTTCATCTGCAGTCCATGTTTAGTTTTCTTTTCGATCGATTCCTTTTGACTACTGACAGGGGTCTTGACAGGGCTTACTTGCGCGTGGAAACCAGAATCGGATTCCCACGCAGCATTAACAGAGTAACAGAAATGATGTTTTAGTGCTCTCCTCGAATCATTCATTCAACAAATTATTTCGATGCACAAGGACTGGGAAAAGTCCCTGGTCAGGCCATTTTAACACCACTAACCTAAAATTGTATTACTTCCCTTTCCGTCAATTGTTATCACTCTTAGTTTTGACTTCAAATTTGACTTTCAATTTGAATTTCACCTTCCACTGTAATATGGCATTTTAAATTGACAAAGAAAGCAATTATTTAGTATTTTTGTTGCAGTGATGAATGGAAAGCTAAATCATCGGCCTTTTTACTTTGTTATTGCACACGATAAGGCGAATGCCATTCTTGTTTTTCTTACACAAGTGTAAAATATTCAAAATTTGACAATCTGTTGTTGCTCTCTCGTATTTCGCGGTTCGTTCAATCATTCAAGACAGAATAAAGGCTCATTTTCCAATAGCAACATTTTATAACAACAACATTAACACGCCATTGAAGGCGTGCTCATTCCATTGTTATCCATGATACATTGCGAACATAGTGCGTGACGTGATGTCACGACACATGTAATGACATCCGTGACTCACAAGCAATTCTTTATATCGAGAATCGAATGAACACCGCAAACACACTTCCGTGTATTATGATCAACAGGAAGACTATTTGACCAATCAGAGGGTAAGTTGAACAATAATGTCCTTTTCGGAACAAAATATGCGTGTTGAAATGGGCCTTTAATTCTGTAATTGGAAAAACATTGATGCACTGGTTGGAAAATTGGAAAATCATCTGCTGAAAACCATACGGTCTTGGCAGTGGCAGTTCTCAGTAAATTTGTTTGTTCAATTTAGGTACAAGAGTGTGAGGGTACGCTTCAACAAGCTCAGGAGTGTTTGCGTCAGTGCAAAGACAAGGTACTACAGTGTATGTTGTACCAGATATACTCAGTTTAGCCACGCAAATGTATCTCAAAAATACAGAAATACTCCAGTAAAACTTCTATTAAGAGGACCCTAGAAAACTTGGACACCATTCCTTAGACGGACACCTGATCCCCCGAAATTGGCGTCATATCTACCTTAAGTTTATTGCGAAGCCGTATTCGGTGGGCCCCTACATTAGGTGGACATGGACACTGAAATGAAGCAACTTAACATTGAGACCGTGCTATGGAGGCGCATGAAATCACGACAAAGGACAAAGCCTGTGTTCAAATTCCAACAGGGGGCCTTACAAAAATTGTGCCACGAAAAGATCTGAATTCAGACGGGAAACTACATAACCTCCCTTTTAAACAAGGCATATAGCTTGGTAATTTGTATTGCTATAACCTTTAATAAGTGGACGCCAGACTGATTTTACAATGCAGCGTTCAGTGGAGTACGACCTGAAGAGAGTCGATTGAAAAGTAGTAAGTCTATAAAGAGCAGATTTCAAACGACAAATTAATTTTTGCATTGCTTCTCTGTAGGAGGAGTTGTTGGCAGCTGACATTGTTGCTCAGAGAGACAAGGCAAGAAAAGAGGTATTTGACTCGATAGATTTGTTTTGCCAAGAAGTGGATTTGATACCTCTTCAAGAGAGAGAAACATCATTACAGGTATTGAAATTCTGTTGAACTAAATGAAATAGTTTGTTTTCAATTCTTTGCCGTTGTTGTAAACCGTACCTAGCTTTAAGTTATGTTGCCGCTCGAAAGAAGTCTATAATAAGGTTACAAAATATTCTGTACCCAATCTTGGCAAAGATTTATAAGTAAAATTTGAGGGCCGAAAAGAAGGGTCAGTTGTATTTTTATGTATTTTACTACACCCTCCCTCACTAAAAATAATTGACAACCATGCACTTCATGTTTGTTAAGAGGAGACCATAAAAATGTTAGAACCTTGGATGTTTTTTTTAATACACGGTTTTAGAGTTTCCTGACTTCTAAATGAAATAAATTTGTTCACAATTTATCTGTGAAGAGTTTCTACAAGACGACACTGGCATAGCTCTTTACGTTTTTCCAATGAAAGTATATCAGTCTTGTTCTTCTCTTTCAGCATGCACTTAGCCAGCTTCAAGAACAAGAAGGTAGTTACTGATACATGATTTGATGACAGTACAGTAAATCACCTTATTAGTATTACCTCCATTACACCCCATCTCTTCAGGCCAGAACAAAGTTTCAGTCAGTTGATTACTATGTTTGCCCTAGCCTGTTGATAGGGACCTTACCGTCATATACGACGGCGACGGCGAAGACGACGCCTAGTAAAAATTGTGTTTCTATTTTACCTTGGAATTTCGCATTTATTTGGAATTATCCAGTGTGTTTGTCGGTATTAAAACTTGCCCCTGCTGAATATGCTACGAATGCGTTCAATTCCAAATAGAAATACGAAAAATTAACCGTTGTGATTCACGTTCTCCAGACAACGCAGAATTTGGTCATTACACGGTGCTGTTTTACAGAGGACGCCACAGAAATGTACCAAGAATTATAACGCACGTGCACAGCCATTGT